TACTCTACGATTAGCTCAGTGAATAATAAAAAAAAAAAACAGATCCAGCTAGAACAAGCGGAGTGATACAAAATTGTGAAAGGGCGTTCCTGTAGCGATACCAGTACAATATCTCACGGTTCTCAACCAATCAGATTTGAGAACCAGAACGAACTGTTGTATAAAACGATATATCGGTTGGGCTCTAATTTGTGATGCAACTAACGCTGGTACTGTAGGTCACAGGACAATGACAAGATGAATTACATTCATACTACACACATTCACACTATATAGAACAGACTTTTTTAAACAGTCGCAAAGTAATTGCTTATTTTAAAGAAGTACCTATTAGAGAGTATGTGCTTTCGGACGCAGCCAGTTTAGCTACTACTACCGCACAAAATGAGATGACAGATGAAACAGAGGAGATGACAGATGAAAGCGAGACACACGACCCACAGCTAGCCAGTTTTTTGGATTCCAAAACAAAATAAATTTAATGATGAATTTGCTAACATTCTTTGGGTGTACTGTCCCTTTAAGAGTTTGCATGCTGTGTAAATCTATCTGCTGTTGTTGTGAAATGCAGCATTTTTCATGTAAGCTGTGGTTGTATTCTTTGTTTTTCAGGTTGGATCAAAGACAGACTGTGTTATGTGTTTGGGACCCATGGTTCCTGATGGTTACGGTATCTGCTACAACCCCATGGATGACCATATCAACTTCGCTGTGACCGCCTTCAATAGCTGCGAGGAAACAAACGCCACAAAACTGTCACAGTTTCTAGAGGACTCGCTTCTGGACATGAAGACTCTTCTGGAGCAGGTGTCTAAGACCCAGTGAATGACGAAGCCCTGAAACTCACAGAAGCCCTGAAACCCTTTCAGGAGGCTTTTTACTACTTTCAGTGTCATTAACCTGACATTGGCTCATATTGGTTTTCCATATCTTTAAGGTCACATGTTTGATTTTTTTCATTATGCAGAGACTATAAGTAACTAAGAACACCATTCTTAGGTTGATTTCCTTGAAAAGTATAAACATTGTGACTATGTGGGGCTTTTAAACATTATTTGTTTGTTTGAGCAACCTGACCAGTCTGACACAGCGACGTTGACTCAGAAGTGTGGGTTTGGGGCTGTTTGTCTAAACACTAGAAGTCAGGAAACCGGTTTGAAAACAGTCATTATTTTCACAGGGTATATAGTGGCATAGAAATTACACACTTCACCTTCCAGGGAAGTGACTATGGACTTAGAGGCTACTACAGACATAAACAGGGACAGCCAGAAACACAAACTCCTTCTGTTTTATTTCAGTTTCAACTGTAGAAATTGTAAGTGTGAGAAAGCTCTTGATATTATCCAGTGCCATATGTTAAACCCAGAGTATACTTCAGTTTTTTACGTATGCGCTAGGGTACGTGTACAGTTGGTGTGACATCGATTTTGGCTTCAGTACATATCGATCATACTGTACAAGTGCAGTCTTTTTTTTTTTTGACAGAACAAAAAATCCACATATAAACACATTACATACAGACACAGACATTATCATTTTATGTTATATTTATGTTTGTTTTATTGATTTACTGTGTTTTTAACTTGTTTGTATTGTTGCATTGTGGGACGAGAAACTAGAGGAAAACCATTTCACTACATTGCATCACATTTATATGTACAGTATGTGACAAATAAAGAATCCTAACTAACTCAAAAATGACAAGTAACTGCTGAAGAAGGCAAAAACCATATATGCCCACATTAATGAGCGCTTATGTGAGGGGATTAAAACATACCCGCAACTCTAGTTTAAACCATTTTTTATAACTGTTGGAAAGAAAAAGCGCAGACACTGGAAGAGGATGAATGTTTCCAGTGCACATGTGCATGTGTTTCCAGTGTCGAGCGCCTGTGTTTGCACATGCTATCAAATGGAGTACACTTTAAAAGTCTGTCCGTTCGACTGTGCACATACACAAATGTACACGTAAAAACGAAGTATACTTATAAAAGTTCCACGGTAGTTTCACAAATGGTAAGTAGGACTGTTATGCTAAATTTAGAGCCATAGGGACTTTTTCTAAATCACTTAAATATAAAAAAAGAAAAAAAAAAGATTGTTTATTTTGTGCTGATAGATTAGCAGTAGGTTTGACACACATTATTGTCAGTTCACATAGATTAACTCATTACAATAAATATACAGAAGCACTTATATAAACAGTAAATTGTCTGATTTTTGTTTTTAAATGATATTAAAAACTGACCTGATTATATCTTTGATATAAAGTTAATAAATCCTATCATCTGTTCTGAATCAGTTGTGCTAAACTGGCTAAATTATAACGAGGATGATTTTTAAATGCTCCAAGGCTCTTTATGGACCAGAAGCTCTCTTACAGACTACACTGGTTGTTCTTCAGAAGGGTTAATGTATGAATACTCGGCCCTGAACATGCCCTTGATTTGCTGGTACTCCCCATGGAATTCCACTTCAGCCCTGCTTCCCGAGGAGCTCCACAGGAAGAGCCGAGTTCCTCTGAAGATGGTCGTCTTTAAGGCATCCACATCCCGAATCTGGGTAAGCGACGAAAACATCACACAGCATAAACATGTTTATGGTCAACCCATGGGGCATCATTTACATCCACACTGTGTACCAAATTTAGTGCTTGTACAACTACTTCTTTTTATTGGACGCCAGCTCAATGTCTATCTGACTCCCAAAACAGTCCTTTTAATGTTTTGTAAACGCAAACCGCTTGAGTTTCATTTAGTTCATTTCAAACCCTTATAGAGTCTACAGACAGCATGATTACATCTCTTCCTTTATCAGACAAATGAATATGCTTATACACTACCGTACAAAGGTTTTGGGTCTTAAAGATTTTTGAAAGAAGTCTACCGATTCTCACCAAGGCTGCTGTTGCTTGATCAAAAAACAGTAATATTGTGAAACATCATTACAATTTAAAATAACTGTTTTCTATATATTTTAAAATGTAAAAGTGTCTTCAGTGTCACACGATCCCTCAGAAATCACTCTAATATGCTGATTTGCTGCTCAAGACATTTCTTACTAAAAACAGATGTTGCTTAATATTTTTGTGGAAAATGATACTTTTTTTAAGGATTGGAAAATCAAAAGAACAGAATTTATTTTAAATAGAAATATTTCATAACATTATAAACGTATTTACACTTTGGATCAATTTAATGCATCCTTGCTGAAAAAAAAAAAAGTTTATTTCAAAAAACGTCATCTTACTGGCCTCAAACTTTTGAATGATAGTGTTTAGATAAAGGATTGATGAACAGCGACTTACCAGTATGTATGTGGAGTTTGTATCGGTGTTGTTGAGCACAGAAAGCGCTCTGATCTGAATCCTGAAAGCAGGTGGAGCATCGATGAACACGCGACAGCTCTGAGTGTTAGAGGTGGAGGTGGCTGCGCTCTTGATCGGATTCTCAATGAGCCCAGACGGAGAGAACAGCTGAACGTCACACTCTTGGAGGAAGATACATGCTGTGTTACATCCTTTCAGATTATTTCACTTTGCCTAACTGCACCCTATAATGAAAATTCTGTCATCATTTGTTCACCTTATGTCTTTCTTTGTTCTGTGGAACAACTTGTGTTGTATGTAAAGGAGCAAAAACAGCAATATTGCGAAATATTATTACCATTTAAAATAACTGATTTCTATTTTAATATATTTTCAAATGTAATTTATTCCTGTGATGCAAAGCTGAATTTTCAGCATCATTACTCCAGTCTTCAGTGTCACATAATCCTTCAGAAATCATTCTAATATGCTGCTCAAGAAACATTTATTATTATCAATGTTATAAACAGTTGTTCTTACATTTTTAATGTCACTTGTAATCAGTTAAATTAGTCCTTGCTGAATGAAAGTATTACTTACTTGAAAAAAAATAAAATAAATTGTACTAACCTCAAACTTTTGAACATTACGGGGTCAGTAAATGATGACAGAATTTTCAGATTTTTGGATGAATTATCCCTTTACAATTACATTTGATGAATAAATATACATATTTCGTCAAGTATTAATTAAAAAGAATTGAGTTTAATGCCGTGTTTGTAATAACACACCTCCATGGTGGCTTTTTTTGTTCTTTATGCTCTGATAAAATAGCAGCACTCCATTGCCGGGGGTCAGGCGGCTCTGGCGCACCAGTAGGACATTTGATCGTGATTTCAGCATTTTACTGGTCATCCTCTCACAGAGACGCATCAGGATGAGTCTGTCATACAGGGCGATATTCTCCTCTGAAGATTACAGACAAACATACACACAGTTCACATACTAGTACTGCATCAGATTCCCGTCTGTAAGAAATGTAAGCTCAGCACTTACTCTGCCGGCAGTTAAGAGTGCTGGATATGATTTTGATCTGAATAACCTCATCAAGAGGTCGGCCAATTGCAAATATACACCTGGCCTGAGTGACGTTGCGCAGATCGATAGTTCCTGAGTCTTGAAGCAGGAGTTGCCCACAGAAACCTGAAACCAGAGTAGATGGCTTATTCCTCACAGCTTTTTTCCATTTATCCCTCCATTCATCCATCTATTCATATAACAATCCCAAAAATACTACATTTATAGAAATTATAAATTATATTAACTAACCTGCCAAACAGGAAGTAATTATATATAATATGAATATTAAGTTGTAATTCTGTATATATAAATCTAAATCTGAATATATAGTTTAAATCATAAATATGTAAATGTAAAACTTGAATACATAGTTATAAGTCTGAATTTATAAATCCTGAATTTATTCACGTAAATCATGAATATATAGTTATAAACCCTGATAATATATTGAAACATTTTGTGAACCCAATCATATTTAGAGTTCTAACTACATATTCAGATTTACATATATATTGAGAGACAAAATGTATATATTCAGAGTTTTAACCTGGGTTAACATAGTTAACTAAGGATGAAACCATAAAAAACAAAAATGAAATAAAAATAAATGTGTTACTTGAAATAAAATAACTGGAAAAAAAAACACTGGTTCTAAATGTATCAGATTTGTATCTATATATTTAAAATTATATATTTGAATTTATAAATATATTTTTACATTTCATATAATTATTTTCAGTTTGGCCCTTCATAATAATAATAATAATATCTTTATGCCCATTTACAAAGTAAACTTATAAATATATATAAAAAAATCTATTATTATGTTGACATTCTTTTACAATTAACACCAATATTCCAGATTTAAGGAATTTCAAAATAAAAACGCTACAAAATAGAATATGCCCCATTTAGATACTGCAAAGGTACCACCTAACTGGTCTGTGGTGGTTCTGTTGTTGTGCTCATGGTGCTTCTCATCACGTCTGCTGTAGGCACGATGGCTGAGAAACTCTTCCTCATCGTCATCATTCTGACAGCTGGAGCAGGAGCTGGAGCTGGAGCTGGTGTGGTTCTCCATGTCCCCTCTCCTCTCCGGGCCTCTGACTGCATGTGAGTGCTGTTGGGCTCTGGTGTGGAGGTCTGAGCTAAGGAACAGTCAGGGCTATAGCAGGCCTGGATGGTGATGGGTTTTGGCAAGTGGAGGCAAAGAAAGGGACTGACAGGAAGAGGGCTGGATGGGCCCATGCAGGACACGGTCCGAGACTGGATCCCATCACCACATGACACTGAGCACTACAGTAGAGAACAGAGAGACAATGAGGAATGGAGAAGCACTGACTTTTTTCTCTGTATTATCCAAACTGGGACTCGAGGTTGTTTGGGATAACAGCTGTGTTGTTAGCATGTGTAGTCTGGATCATGGATGTGTTGACACACTACCTCACTCCATTCATGCACGTCCCAGTTGAAGGAACAGACTTGTGTGAAGCATGGTGCAGTGACGGGAGGCTTGTTTCCTGGGTCACACCGGCCCTCCTCCACGACCCTCTCTATTCCTCCTTCATACTGAACACATCGCACACTCCTCACAGCTACACCCATCCCGCATGACACCGAACAGTCACCCTGCTCTCCCGCCTGCCACCTACACAATCATTACATCAGTTAAAACACCCTTACTCTAATAATATAATATAATATATATAAAATATAATATAATATAATAATTCATACAATATAATTTAATATTATACAATACAATTAATATAAATCAATTGGTTTTGGTTCAAGACAATCGGTATTAAGTGGTACTGGACATTAAGTGGTATTATCGATTAAAAAAAACATTTTCATTCCTTGAAATAAAATTAAAATTATTTTGAGATTACTGTATGCATGATTATAGTTGTGTAGATTATGGTTAGTTGCACTTTATTATTTGCATATAGCACTGATTCTTCACCTGCTCTCTGTGAATCAATCAGGGGTAGTTTCCCAAAATCAACTACTGTCGCAAGTTCTCCATTACCAATAGAGTTCAATGGAACTAATGACCATAGTCAGCTAACGATGCTTTTGGGAAATGCACCCCAGAACAGGACATTTTTGTTATTTTTCAGCTTATTAAAACATGCAAAAAACATTACAAATTATTCCAAGTGTAACAGTGAGTAATTGTGAGTAAAATGTGTGCAACATTATAACTTATTCTGAACTAAGATGGAATTAAGATATTCAGGATAGAAGGCTGAAATGTGTTCAGAAATGTTTGACAGCTTTACCTGGTAGGACAGGCTTCAGTATTACACTCCACCACCTCTGAAGGTCTGGCCACAGACTGACAAGCAGATTCTCCCACCACCAGATCCGTGTTTCCGTCTCCTCCCTGCACCATCTGGGAACAGTACAGGACTCTCTTTGCTACACCACCTCCACAAGACACACTGCACGGGCCCTGCATGTAGCGCCACCTGATAAAGAAGACACCATGCTCATCACGTGTAAATCTATAGAAGTATGTCTAGAAACCGAAAGTAGAGTTTAAGCAATGCTTACGTAGCAGGACATATTGATAGGCTGCAGGGCTGGGCGTACATCTCTGGTTTATTGGTATGATCACAAAGGAACTCTGGGACTTCTAGACGTGATTGGTGATCCACACAGGAGAACCAAACCTGCTGAGATCCTGCGTAAGCATGCAAAATTATGCACAGAGTCACAAATGAGTGTTGGCCATAATTTCAGCATTTCGCACTTACCATTCCCACAGGTCTTTGAGCACTGGCCAATCACAGGATTATGTGGGTGTCTGTACGGATCAGCTGGGTATTGAGAAGACATTTTTGAACAGATCACAAATAGACCTTATGTGTCAGAGAAACAAGTTTTTCTCTGAACTTCTGTTTTTGTGGTAGCTCTGTAGCATCACCATTAAAGAGTAATTAGCTGGTGAAGTGGATTTACTTATTGTAGAGTTAACGAAGTTATCACGTGCATTCAAATGTTCAAAGCGGATGTCATAACACATTAGTAGACCAGG